TTTTTTTTTTTTTGTCCGGAATTTTCCGGACGCAGGTCCGGCGGGACATCATGCTCTGTCCGGGTCCGGGTCCGGGGTAACCATGCTAAAAAGTTAGTAGGATAAAAGTCAGTAGAGAAAAAGAATGCATGAAAGAAGCGGGAGCGCAGCTACGGCACGGGGAGAAAACTTTCAGGTTTTGCCAATTCTCGACAGAATCGGACGAACAAGCACACTACTCTGAGGTCGTTTTATAGGGCGATTATGGTGGTGAAAGCGGATCGGGATTGGGGGCAGCGGTTTGCGGTATGGGACGCAGAGGTTCTGTGATGGTAGAAGAGACTAGGAAGGGTGGGGATGAGTCTACCCATATTCTAGCGGAAGATTCGTTCCAATTTCGATTATCACATCGATAAGAGTACCCCTCTCTCTACCCCCTCGGCACGCATGATTAAAGAGATAATGTAAGTTCATGCTCGTTTTGCACGATTGGTGAGCGGAGGAGCAATCGCTGCAGTTTGCGCTCATCAAAACAACCGAACTGTTCCCACTCGTTGGGCATGCATGCATAAGTCTGCAGAAAGGGGGCGAGCGGGGAGTGGAAAGGACTGAGGTAAGAGGTTGATGAGGGGGGAGAAAATCGAGAAGGGGAAAAGCGGAGAACTAACCTGGCCGGCCGGAGCCACGCGTAGCTCTGCGTTTAGGTGTGCTGCATCTGGCCGGGTTGGGCCTGAAGGTTCATTCGACTTTGCCCATTTTTGTCAGTGGGAGTAGTGCCTCCCTATCTCTCTACGTGGGCAGCAGTGTGCAATGTACATGTCCACTTTCTAGCGGAAGATTCATTCGAGTTGTTGTCATATCGACGAAATCAGCCTCTGCACCCATGACTTCGCTATAGCAGATGTATCTTTCTTTCCATGCTCTAGTGGAAGATCCGCTTGCGGAGCAGCAAGCTGCGGGAGGCAATCGAGCATGGCTGAAAAAGGAGTGAGAGGTGGCGAATAACTGGAGGTGTTCAGAAAGCTCACCTGCAGGTCGTGTGAGCTTTCTAATTTGATTTTGCACGTACATAAACCCCGGTTGTTGGTGCATAGAAGCGGTTTGCGCAGTCCTTGACAGTCTTCGCCACTCGCAGGTGCTGCGAGGGCTACGTTGGGTGCGGCTACTGTCAGCTGAGCATCGCGATTGCCATGTTTTCACCATACTCTTGTTGTGTATAGGCGGCCGCAGCATTCCTTGGATAGTTGCTGCACAGTTACTGCTAAGTCTGGGCTATCGTTGCTGTTTATGTAAAAGTTGCATTCACTCAGAGAAGCGTTGCAACAGTGAGGATCCAAAAAGGGGAGGAGGCTGCGGGGCTGTATGGTATGCCTACTGGCCGATTTGCTGCTCATTCGATCGACCGAAAAGGCAGCAGGCCAGCTGGAGGGGCTGCAGATCTGTTTTATTGACCAGTGTGCCACTCATCTCGCAAGTCTGCGCACGTGAGGAGGCCAGCCGCGAGAATGCAGACTTAGCTGTTACCAGTGCGCTATTCATTCCGCCGCACGAAGTGGCTGGAGGCAAACTACAGAGTTGCGAGTTCATCCATAGCTAACGGATTTGGGGTCACAAGCGTACAGGAGTCCCGAGTCTTTTAAAAAGGGAGGAGAATCGCTGCGAGTTGGAGAGGCGCCAGAGAGTCAAAAGTTGGCAATTCGACTTCTGATTGACCAAGCTGCTGCTGTGTTCTGGCCATTATTGCGGGGCCCTCAGGCGCATCAAGGCAACAAGGCCGTCTCCTACGAGTTGAGTCAGTCCCTCTCCTGTATCTCGAGCGTCTCAAACCACTCCTTCTGTGGCATACTGCGTAGCCACACAGGCCCTGCAGGGCCCGTCCCAGACATTCAGCCTAAAAGCCTAAAACTTAGGGCTTACAGGCCCCGGTCGTTTCAGCCTGAAAGCTGAAAAACGAGGGCCTGCAGGCCCTACCCCGTTTCAGCCTATTTCTGGGTCTTTTCAGACCCAGAGTTTTCAGCCTGAAACTGAGGGCCATTTTCAGGCCCTCATTGTTTCGACCTGCCCCTAAGACTCAGACACGTAAACAGGGATGCGGAACAGGCCAGAAATAGCCTGTTCCTCACGAGTTTGAGCAGGAGCTGCAGCTGCAGCCCCTGCCTCCCTTCGGCAGGCTCAGGAGGCACACCCGGTAGTACATAGGAAGTTCCCATGCACTTCACGGGTAGGTAGTTCAGTAGGCACGAGGTAGTCTTCAGGATTGGGCCGCAGCACTCAGGAGGAGCACTGCAGTAGTCTCCAGCGCTAAGTAGTAGTAGCGCTAGCTGTAGTCTTCGGCGCTGGGCGCCATAGCTGTAGTTGTAGTCTTCAGCGCTGGGCGCTGGTAGGTGGTAGATCGTGGAGTGGGAGAGAGAGACTGGCAGAGGCCAGTGGTACTTACCTGTGGCGCCATCGCTCCAGCTCCATCTTCGTGGTGCATCAAGGCGCCAACTTCACAGGTTAGTACTGGACACAGAGAGAGAGAGAGTTCTTCTTCTTCCTCTTCTAAGTCCACCTTCTCTTCTCACCCTCTCGCCACCTGACTTCTCAGACTACGACAGAGAGAGACAGAGTTGTGACTTGAGACTTGACAACATTGGATCCAGACTTGACATTTGGGATTCAGACATTTCGACGAGGGACTATTTGGGCTTGTGCCGAAGACTTGGTGTTGACGACATTCCCATCNAGTTGTGACTTGAGACTTGACGACATTGGATCCAGACTTGACATTTGGGATTCAGACATTTCGACGAGGGACTATTTGGGCTTGTGCCGAAGACTTGGTGTTGACGACATTCCCATCTTCCCCCTCCTCTTCGTCTATCCCCTTCCTCTTCGTCTGTGTATGGTATGGGCTGGTGCTGTCTTCCTGTGTGAAGCGCCAGACCCATTCACACCATGTAACGACGATGATGATGTATGTTCAGGGCTGCATTACAACATGGATTGTTCGGATCACTGGTATCTAAGTCTTCCGCTGTGTTATCTTGTACTTTGTATTGAAAGGTTGTTTCTTGTTCTAGTCTGCACGTTGCAGTATGCAACAGTTTGGTATCGGAGCGGACCTCTCATTCAGAAGACCCGCTCAATCAAGTAGCGAGCTTGCTTGATCTATTGAACTCATTAGTAAATCAAGAAGGACCTCGTCAAATCTCTGAATTTTTTTTTTTTTCTTTCGCATATCTGAAAATTCGTAATATTAGCATCTCGTTATATCTGAAATTTCTGATAATCACATTTAGTTGTTTTCTGAAAATTTCGATATTAGTATTTCGTTTTCACGTAACAAATATCTGAAAATTTCTGAAAATCGCATTTCATTTTATCTGAAATTCCTGATATTAGCATTACGATCTACCTGAAAATTCCGATATTTGCATTTCGTTTTTATGCAACAAATATCCGAACTTTTATGAAAGTAGCATTTCGTTTTTGATGTTTTGCATACATAGCCGAAATTTCTGATATTCGCATATTCTCTGCCTTTCGTATTTCGTTTTCTAGGCAAATAGGATAACGATAGGAATGGTCATATTCTCGAAAACTCGATTTACTCGATTCTGAAAATCGAATCTCCATCCTATCTCGCAAATTTTTTGGAAACTGAAATCTTGCGAGGCCTATCAGCATGGCATTTTAGACATAGTAGCAGATTGTCATATTCGGAGAAACAGGATTTAGTCCTTTTCTGAACATCGCATCTCTACTCTATTTCGCAAAAAAAAATTCAAGATTGCAGTTGGTAAAAGCCGAAACTTTGCGAACCTAGCCTAGATCTCGTTCATCGTCCTTTTCTGACATGTCTCACGCATAATAGATCGACAGGGATACAAAAAAAAAAAAAAAAAGGAAGTAGTCCTCTTTTATTTTTATTATTATTTTATTTATCTGTTGATTAGGGTCGGAGGAAAGTATTGTTGGGTTGTTTGCCTACCTACGTTTCCCTCCCACCCACCCAACCCCTTTGCATGCATTTCCGGTTCGGTACAGTGCCACGTCAGCAGTGCCATGTCACAGTGCCACGTCAGCAGTGCCACATCACAGTGCCACGTCAGCAGTGCCACGTCACAGTGCCAGATCAGCAGTGCCACGTCAGCAGTGCCATGTCAGCAGTGCCACGTCACAGTGCCAGATCAGCAGTGCCACGTCAGCAGTGCCACGTTGGACATAGTGCCACGTCAGCAGTGCCACATCAGCAGTGCCACGTCAGCAACATGACGGGCCTGCCAGGCCAACTGGCCAATGTGCCTATTGCCGACTAGCGCGTCCATGCTCAGCTCGCTGCAATCGAGGCTGAGGAACAACGCCAGCTGGCAGTCAAGGCTGCCCAGCTACAGGCTGACGAAGCGGCAACAGCAGAGAAGCTGCGGCTACAGGCCGAAGCRRACGCAGATGCCCAGGCTCACCGCAAGGAAGCCCAGGCTCTGCTGCAGCGGCATGAAGCCAACAGCATCGAGAAWCTCAAGTACTGGCACTTTGAACCGAACGGCGACGAGCCAACACCGGAAGAGCATCATAAGGAGTTCATGGCCAAACTCGTGAGCAGGTTGGTTTACACGTGTAACCACCTACAGTCCGAGCTGGCAAACCTTCGGCAGACCGTGCAAAACCATAAGATTCAGCACGAGGATGCCACACGGGCACTAGACGCCCGTGTACTGGACCTGGAACAGGCTGTACCAGGACCAGATGCTGGAGCTTCCAGCAGTGCACCCTCTAGCCGCCAACTGGGGGAAAGCGTTGACCACGTGGTGGCAATGCTAGGAGACATAAGTGCCTTCACAGAGCCGGCCACCGTCAGCCAGCGGTTCGAGTTGGTGGACACTAGGATCGGTCAGCAACAGCAGACAGACCACAGCCACAACAACAGCTCGGCGAGGCCATACAAGATGCCGACGTTCCGGATCGAGAAATTTGATGACTACAAACATCAAGACCCGGTTGTCTGGTGGCAAGGATTTAGAACGGAGTCGGGGATTCACGAAGTCCCTGACCATCTGGTCATCAGTGCTCTGTTCATCAACACCAAAGGAGGTTGTCAGATCTGGCTCAGCCACATGGCAACCATCCACTGCGTCTAGGTTTCAGACCTGTACAAGAAGGTCTCCTGGGAGGACATGACAAAGGAATGGAAGAAGCGGTTCATCGTCGACGACGCCCCGGCACTCGCCGTCAACCGCATCTTCACGATGGCTCAAGGGAGCACACCGACACGTGATTGGCTCACGGATTGGCAGAAAATCGTGGCAACGCCCGCATCTGCGGCGTGAGTTCTACAACACGTCATGCGCCGCTCTCAGCCTCGCACTTGGTGATCGCGAGCAGTACAACACTTTCACAGAGATCATCAACAAGGCGAGAGAGCTCATCAAGACTAACAAGCCGGCTGCACATGAGAAGTCCTCGTGGCAGCCAACCTATGTGGAGAAGGTACGAACTGGTCCGCGACAGCAGCAGTTCGCTGCAGTCGAGCAGGACAGTGGAGATAACCCAGTAGCCACTCCAGCATGAGGTGACGGAGATCAGGTGGCTACTGTCCAGCCGTGAAGCAACAACAAGTCCCGCAACAATGGGAAGGCAAAACCAGCATCGCAGACCGGAAATGGACAGCTTCCATGGGTCAAGTTCGGTTTGACCGAGGCGGAGTACAAGGTCCGAGGCCGCTACGGCAGCTGCTATTGGTGCAACAGCACCAAGCACAAGACCTCCCTGTGCCARGATCAGGGCAAGGAGGATGTGCAMCCCCGCCTCAGCTCGAGAAACTGAGCTCCGCGGAAGGTGAGGCGACTCCACCTTCTACTCCGCCAGATTCGGCCGCCTTGCTAGCGGCCTCCTGCACATCTGGGGAGAAAGCGAATGTCGCAAGTCCTCGGTACACTTACGAGGACTATGCTGTCCACTTGGTTCCACCGCTGGACCAACCACTCCACGTGCAACAATCCATCGCATGCACGGTTTCATCACCATCGGCAACCGATTCGGCAACTTCGCCGCAATCTATGGTCGGGGATTCGACGTCATGGTCAAGACTTGAAAAGCTCGACCCATTCACGTTCACGGACTTCCAGTGGATGCCCGTTCCCTCGGCCGGACGATTGCCGAAACCGCATTGCAATGTGCTCATGGCACAACTGCGGGACTACTTGCACACTGCAGTACCCACTCCGTTGATGGACGCCGGAGTAGAGGTTGTCGACCTTCATGATTACATCGCGAAGATCGACCACGAGTTCAAGACGCAACGGTACGACGACATCGACGCACCATTGCTATATGTACGCATTCAGATCGGAGAGGCGACCTGCAACGCCTCGGTCGATTGCGGAGCATCTCGCAACTACATCAACCAGGACTTCATGGTACACGCCGGCCTCGGCCCACGTGTCCGGAGGAAGTCCCAGCCTACGCAAGTCACTCTGGCAGACGGTCATATGCACAAGTCCATCGACCGGTGCATTGACGTCGTCCAAGAGTACTTTGCCCCTCACGCAAGTGAGGCGGTGTCCTTTGACATTCTCGACACCAAATTCGACATGATATTGGGCATGTCATGGCTGCGAAGCGAGGATCACCCGGTGAACTTTTTCAACCACACCGTTCACGTTCGTGATCGGAACGGAGTATTAGTTCCACGCACGGTGCCTCTTCCTCATCCTTCGATCAGCTGCCACGTGGTATCCGCCGCAAGCATGCGAGCATCCATCATCAGAGACAACATCGAGGAGATGGGGGTATGTTTTTTCCACGCCCTCCCACCCCGAGACGCTTCATCGACGGACTCATCTTCGGATCCACGCATCACCGAGCTTCTCGACGCCTACAACGACGTGTTCGAAGGCCCGCATGGAGTAGTACCGGATCGACCCATCCGCCACGAGATCATCCTCGAGGACGGGGCCGTACCTCCRCGCGGTTGCATCTACCGAATGAGCGAGGAAGAGTTAAGWGTGCTTCRGGCACAACTCGACGRCCTTCTRGAGAAAGGCTGGATTCGGCCTAGCTCATCACCATACGGTGCTCCTGTTCTCTTCGTCCGGAAGAAGAACAAGGACCTGCGGTTCTGCATCGATTATCGCAAGCTCAACGCGCAGACGATCAGGAACGTCGGCCCTCTCCCACGCATCGATGAACTTCTCGAGCGATTGGGCGACGCCCAGTTCTTCTCTAAGCTGGATCTCAAGTCAGGGTACCACCAACTCGAGATTCGCAAGGAGGATCGCTACAAGACCGCGTTCAAGACACGGTATGGGCATTTCGAATGGCTGGTCATGCCATTTGGCCTTACGAATGCCCCGACCACTTTCCAAGCGGTTATGACAACGGAGTTCCGACACATGCTGGATCGTTTTATACTTATCTACCTCGACGACATTCTGGTCTACAGTCGGAGTCTGGACGAGCATGTGGAACACCTGCGCACCGTTTTGGAGCGGCTACGACAAGCCAAGTACAAAGCAAACCGCGACAAGTGGGAGTTCGCACATCAGGAGCTGGAGTACTTGGGACACTGTGACGCCGCAAGGCATCCCGTCCGCTTGCGGACAAAATCGAGGCCCTACGAGTGTGGCCCGAGCCCACCAACACCACGGACGTTCGTTCATTCATGGGGTTGGTGGGCTACTATCAGCGATTCATCACCGGATACTCCAGGATTACTGCACCTATGATGAGGTTACAATCGCCAAAGGTGTCATTCGTATTCCATGACGACGCACGCCGGTCATTCCAAGCACTTAAGACGGCTATGCTCATGGCACCCGTCCTTAGCATCTATGACCCCACCCTGCCGACGCGAGTGACTACGAACGCTTTCGGCTATGGCATTGGGGCAGTCTCGGAACAGCACGACGGCGACGACTGGCACCCTGTGGAGTATTTCAGCCACAAAGTGCCTCCCATCAACTCGCTTGATGATGCAAGGAAGAAGGAGCTGCTCGCATTCGTGATGGCTCTCAAGCGCTGGCGGCACTTCCTCCTTGGGCGTCGTAGGTTTACATGGGTCACAGACAACAATCCATTGACCTACTACAAGACGCAGGACACGGTGAGCAGCACGATCAGACGATGGATGCACTTCATCGACCAATTTGACTTCACACCGAAGCATGTCCCCGGCCTCTCCAATCGCGCAGTAGATACACTCTCGCGAAGACCTGATCTTTGCGCTATGACACATCATGCCTTCGCATTCGACGAGGAGCTTCAGCGACACTTCATCCGGGCATATCAGTCTGATCCGGACTTTGGCACGCTCTATGCACAGCTATCTTCGGATCACCCGTCGGCCAGCCATTACCGCATTGCCGACGGGTACTTGCTCCTCCACTCGAGAGGCAAGGACTTACTATGTGTCCCACGCGACCGTCGTCTTCGGACTCGCCTCCTCGGCGAGTATCATGATTCACGACTCGCCGGCCATTTCGGAGTCAACCGCACTATTGCACGGCTTCGACAGCGATTCCGATGGCCTGACCTCATTGCTGATGTCACTCGGTATTGCGACTCTTGCGAACTTTGCCGACGCAGCAAGCCCCGCAACCCCAATCCCTACGGCGAGTTACACCCGATGCCTATCCCACGGGAACCCGGTCTCTCCATTGCCATGGACGTCACCGGTCCGTTTCCTCGCGACCGGCTCGGGCACGACGGCATCCTCACGGTTGTGGACCGATTGAGTAAGTAC